GCGCGCCCACTACCGACCGGACGTCGCAAATCTACAAAACGCTGCGGTTTTAACCAGGTACCAAGCCTCACTGTCAACCTTGCTTGGCTCAACTATTGACGGTGATCTCGATTCGCAGTGGGCGCATATCAAAGATGTGTTAGTTTCCGCCAGTATCGACACTTGTGGAGTTACCCGTCACCCACCGAAACATTGGATTTCCGCCGACTCCTTGTCGCTGATGGACAGACGCCGCTTGATCCCATCGGATTCGAGACACGTTGAAGAACGCCAATACCTTGGTCGAGAGTTGCGCAGGAGTCTGCAAATGGACCGCGAAGCTTGGTGGTGTGAACGTGCTAGGGAGATGGAGCTTGCTAGTCTCTGTGGTAATACCAGGAAACTCTTCCATCTCCTTCGAGTCACCGAAGGTGTTCGATCTGGTATAAGTGAAACAATATGCGAAGAGGATGGCACCTTAATCACCAATCTTCAACGACGGTTGGAGCGATGGGCCGAACATTTTGGCTCGCAGTTTTGTTGGCCCCCAGCTCCATCTGCTACCTCTGGCGCTCGCGCTGGGGCCGAGTGGTCTACCCCAACAGACCCTCCCTCTTCCCAGGAAATCGAGCAGGAGCTCCGGCACCTGAAGCGTTATAAAGCTCCCGGCCCTGATGGTCTTCACCCAGCTCTATTTAAAGATGGTGGCGCATCGCTGGTCCGAGAACTCACCGTTTTGTTCTCGAAAATTTGGTCGAAAGAGAAGGTTCCATCATCTTGGGGTGAATCGATAGTCGTACCCATCTTCAAAAAGGGCCTGCGCACAATCTGCTCCAACTACAGAGGAATAAGTTTAGTCCCCGTCGTTTGCAAGCTGCTGGTGTCCATCATACTTCGCAGGCTATCCCCAACACGCGAATCGTTGCAGCGAGAAGAACAAGCTGGGTTTCGCCCTGGTCGCGGCTGCATCGATCAAATCTTCACACTTCGCCAGATCCTCGAGCTCCGCCATGTGTATCAGAGGCCAACGATTGCTGTGTTCCTGGATATCCGTGCTGCCTTCGATTCTGTCGATCGTACAGTACTGTGGCAGTGCCTTCTGAGGAACGGTGTCCCCGAGAAGTTCGTCTCCATACTGCGCGCTCTGTACAGTCTGACCTCGGGCAGGGTTAGGGCTTATGGCATGCTTTCGCCTACCTTTGTGGTCTCCAGTGGAGTTCGACAAGGATGCCCTATCTCTCCGTTCCTATTCAACTTTGCCATTGAGGATGTCCTGAAGAACGCTCTGAGCGATTCGTTGAACGCTGGCGTTGAGCTCCTCCCAGGTAGTCGAGTTGTTGATTTGGATTATGCTGATGATATCGTCTTGCTAGGTGACGATCCACAAGTCGTCCAACTTGCATTAAACCGCTTGACGATTGAAGCATCAAAGTATGGTATGTGCTTTTCGCCATCCAAATGCAAGGCTCTCCTTCAAGACTGGCAGGTGCCTCTGCCTGCACTCACGCTTGCTGATGAGACACTGGAGGTTGTGGAGAGCTTTGTCTACTTGGGAAGTTGCATCACTGCTGGCGGGGCTGTTGGAGACGAGATTTCGATGCGCATCTCGAAAGCACGCCTCGCTTTTTCTAGGCTGAGGCATTTGTGGCGTCGCCACGACATTCGTCTCTCCATCAAAGGGCGGGTCTATTGTGCAACTGTTCGTGCTGTACTGTTGTACGGATGCGAGACCTGGCCCATTCGTAAAGATGACTTGCGCAGGCTATCCGTCTTCGAGCACCGCTGTCTGCGGTCCATTGCCCGTGTGTGGTGGCAGCACCACGTAAGCAATGTGGAAGTTAGACAGCGTGTCTTGGGACGTGGAAGCCACTCGCTCGAGGAGCTCATCTCACCTGCATCAACTGCGGTGGTTGGGACACGTATTGCGCATGCCTGTCCAGCGTTACCCCCGTCGTGCGTTGTTTGCACTTGCTGGACAGGGCTGGAAGAGACGGTCTGGTGGACAGCCTACAACATGGAGAAGCCGCATGAAAAAGTTGACGAAACAATTGGCCTCGGCCGGTTGTTGTCGACTACCTGGTTGGGGTCCGAGAGACGAGGATACTTGCTGGTTGAAAACCTTGGAAGTTATGGCTCAAGATCGATGTCAATGGCGGACGTGTGCATCAGTGTGTTGCGGTGTCCCTTCCTCCTCCCCCTAAAAACGAACAAACTGAAAAAAAAAATTTCAAAAACTGTGAGTGGTAAACTTGACAAAAAAAGCATTTCTTGTTGCTCTTTTCTTATTATTCATATTGTTTTCCTATTCAGCCATGATTCCGATGGCACAATATCTGTACCACAGATTGTGTATAATATATATATATACTGTCCAGTGCACGCTGTATGGCCTCAGAACCCCCAGGAACATTTACAACATTCCATAGCTTAAGGTCATCAGCAAACAATAAGGATGATACCCCAAGCTCTCCAGGGAGATCGTTTACGTAGATGGAGAACAGCATCGGTCCAAGGACCGAGCCCTGTGGGACACCGCTAAGGACCGCTTGCTTAAAGGATAAGCTGCGATCCACACGTACACACTGCTCTCTTCCCTGCAAAAACGCAGATACCCAGTGAAGGGCGCGGCCAGATACGCTGTAGGACCTCAGCTTATGTGATAGCCTCAAGTGGGGTACCTTATCAAATGCTTTCGAGAAGTCTACGAAAAGCACATCCACCACGTGGCCATTGTCCACTGCCTCGGCCCAAACTTCACGAGCAGCCAACAAATTCGTCAAACACGAAAACCCCTTCCGGAATCCATGTTGTGCACTACTGAGCAGATTAAATCTATTCAGGTGACATTCCAACGAATCTCTCACCAGCTTTTCAAGCAGTTTGACCACGACGCTTGTCAGACTAACTGGCCTATAATTGGCTGACAGACTCCTGTCGCCATTTTTGAAGATAGGACAGATGACAGCCTCCTTCCATTCGGAAGGTAATGTACAGGTGTCAAGTGATTTGTGAAACACCATCGTCAGCGGTCCACTTAGTTTCCCCGCCAACTCATGCAGAAGCTTCGGGTGAATTGAATCAGGTCCAGCTGCTTTGGAAGGGTTCAGTTCTTGCAGCAGTTTAAGGACTTGCGTTTCCACCACAGTAAACTCAGCTAAATAGGAACCATCAGGTACTCTGGGGACAAATTCAACGCTAGTCAACGCGGCCTCACGTACAAAAGCCCCTGCATACTGCTCCCCAAGTACACGAGCCTTATCTGAGTCCGTATACGCACGAGTTCCATCGGCCCTCATCAAAGTTGGGATTACCGAAGTTGAACCACAGCGTCTCTTAACGTAAGCGAAGAACTTCGGATTTTCCGAAGTTCCGTCAGCCAATTCCTTTTTGTACAATAGCCGAGCTTCCCTTAAGTGTTGTTTACACCTATTTCTAGCCTCGCGGTACCTAGCATAGGTTCTAGTTGATGGAGCCGCACGGTAGGTCCTCCAGCACCTAGAACGCTTCTGGAGCAGGTGCTTGCCAGTGGTATCTATCCACGGTGGCCGTGCCCGTGTCTCCTTTCTCCTCGCAAGCGAGATGTAGGGGTAGACACTTCCGTGAGATCAGACTTAAATTTATCCCAGGCCGCCTGAACCGTAGCAACCACCGAGATTTCGCAACGCATCCCAGCAGCCTTGGTACGCATTGCCTGATAGTTAGCACGCCATATGTTTGGAAATGGCTTAGCAATGCTCTGGTGACGCCTGGTCAGACTACACCTGAACGATAAACAAACATGATCACTAGCACCTAAGGGAGAGCTGTAAGTGATGTCCCCTACGAAGTCTAGTGACTTGGCAAACACTAGATCCAAAAATAGACGGGAGTTGGGCATCCATGTGCCTAGTGGGGAGGTCCACGAACTGATACAATGGTACTTGTAGCGTAAGCTCAAGTAGATCTGCTCCGAAAGTACCTTCTGCCGAGTTGCAAGAAAGATCCGCCCAGCAAACTTCTGGTAGGTTGAAATCCCCCAGTATCAAACACCTGTTTGCGGATTGGGAGCGAATAAAGTCAAGCACCTCTTTGGACGCACTTCCAGGGCTTCTATACACAAGTACGACTGTAAGTTGAGCTGAGGAAGTGTTAATCACTACCGACAGCGCTTCGACAGTTTTATCTGCCGTCTGAAACATGTAGGTGCATGAAACGTCAAGTTCAAACCTAACGTAAAGCGCGACGCCCCCGCCTTGTCGGCCAACGAAGCGATCACATCTAAATAGTGCGTAGCCCGGCAGATGTACTTCACCGTCCGTGATGTCTTGAGACAGCCACGTTTCAGTGAATGCAAGTATATCGGGATGAGACCCATCTACAAGCAGACCTATCTCGCACATCTTATTCCTTAGGCTCCGCACATTGCTTAGCACTATTTGAAGGTACTCGTAATGTCCAGCCCTGGGTCGTGCGCTATCAGTACTGGCACTGGTAGGGCGGAAACAGACCGCCGGCTGACCACCCGAAAACCCGCCAACCGGAGACCTTGTTCACTGGCCGCTCGCCTGGTTTTGAGGTCCTTAATGGCCTCTTTTAGCTTCAGCCTATCCGCTAATGGGAGGTCTGGCTGAACACTAACATTAGTACCCTTCAATTTGAAGGCAAACCGCAACAGCGCGTTGCGTTCCTCCGGGGTAGATAGGACTACCCGAAGTAAGCGCGGTCGAGGGTTTGGGGGGTTAACTGGGACGTTACCCAATCTAGTCAGTTTCCTGACAGTAACACCGGGAAACCCAGGCGGAAGAAGTTTGGTTACGCACATCTTAAACCACTGTAGGTCGTCTAATGTACGTTCGGCAGCAAGTGCAGCAGTGGATTCCACTGCGTTACGGAATATCACGCTGCTATCCATGAAAGCATCACCTCGACGGGGTGTATTTACCCCACGGGTTTTGGAATTTACATGAACCGCAACCGGCTTAGCCGCGGGAAAGGTGACTGGGCGCAAGTTATCAGACGAGGTTGAAGCAACTGTAGCGTACGACTTCGGCTCCAGCTTGTTTGTCCCGTCATTCTTGACGCTTTTCGAACCTGTCTGAAGAGTACGGGCAGTTCTGTTCCGATTTCTCTTTCGTCCTGCAGGCGAAGAAGCCCGTGGCTCAACGTCCATGCCTGCCTCTACGACCTGTACCCCTGGAAGACAAGATGTGTTTGGAGTAGGCGCCGCAGTTTGAGTAGCACTCGATGTAGACATCTGGGGCTTTTTACCCCCTGCCTGCACAATCTTAGGTGAAACTGAGGGATTCGCATCACCAGGTGGTGTTTCCCGCTCAGGTGGTTGCACCTTGAGCGTCTTCACACCTCTCGGTTTGGGTGCGGAGGGTTTGCGCACTTTTCTTGCCCTCTTTCGCCCATTCTTTTCCGGCCCAGGAGCCCGTGACTCGCCCTCCGTTTGTGGAGGGTCAACAATGCCATCCGAGGCATATGAGTCATCTATCTCAATGTGTACTGGAGCGTCCGGTAAGATGAACGACCCATCAAGGGATGGACTGTCAGCAGGGGGACAGTTCTCTACAGAGTCCTCCTTTGCAATACTCAGGTGAATCATAATCAAGTCCACTTTAGAGTTGAGCGAGGCAAGCCCGACTAACGCCTTCTCAACCAATGTGAACCTGCATGCCAGTGCCTTAAATTCGGCACAGATGATAGCCGGGCACTTCGCTTTCTGAGTGCCGCAATCAGCAATCTGATAGTGTCATCAGACCTCAAATCTATTCAAGACATCCAGAAGAGGGTCGCCGCGGCCCACAGGATGTTCCATTCTATACGCAGAGGATTTTCTCTCCTGACCCCGGGACTTTTCCGACTCCTCTTTGGCTCGCATGTACGCCCGATTCTCGAATACGGACTACCAGCTGCCTATCCTCTCACCAAATCCGAATGTGATATGATGGAGAAGGTTCAACGGCGTGGATCCAAATCCGTTCCTGAGTTGCGAGACCTGTCGTATCCATACCGACTTCAACGACTGAACTTGTTCTCTCAAGGTTACCGCCGACACCGAGGAGATTTGATATGTATTCGACGTATTCTCAGAGGAGAACTGGGTTACGAGTTACAGGACTTCTTTCAACTCAAAACTGAGAGTTGGACACGAGGCCACCGCAGGAAACTGTTCAAACCGAGGAAGCTCCGTGTGCGGCTCAATTTGGCCTTATCAACTCGCGTGGTGAATGATTGGAACCGGTTGCCGAATCCTGTTCTTGACGCTGAGACAGAGGAACGTTTCAAACAACTGTTAGATTCTCACCTGAGCGCGCTGGGATTCTGCTGCCTCTAAGACAGCTACAGTGGTCCTCTGCGGAACCTTCTACCGCAATGACCCAGGCCCTCTACGCAATGATCGCGAAGTGAAGGAGCTGACAAAAGATCTTCCATCTGCTCTCTATCATCCAATGATCCAATGAACGCTTACGATCCTTCCCCCCATTTTGTTTTTGGCACCTTTAGGGAGGAAACGTGTGGGGGCGCGCTAGGGTCTCATCGCCTAGTTCTCCCCCAGCAGCTGCATTAGGTTTCACTAACTGGTCTCGCAGAAGCCTGGCCCGAGACGGACAGTCCTCACGTAGATCGAAGGGTCACCCAAGGTTTCCCTTCTAGGAAGGGGCTGTGTAGTGAGCTGGAGATTCCCACGTATGGCTGTGTAAACTAGTCTAAAATATAGTAAAATTATAGCCTTCTTATGTATTGGGGAATTAGGCGTTTTACCTGTTGGAAGGTGGCTCCCGTTTGTTTGAAACACGAACATATCCGCCTTTGGCGCGCGTGACACGACTGCGAACGTCGCTCAGTCAACGCACCCGAGGCCCAACTACATCCTTCCTAGCTAGCTCTCTTCTGGTGCCATATTTTAGCATTAACTAGTTCCTCTCCTGTTCAATAAACTTTTTCCCTAGCTTAACCTTTGTGTGTTCTACCCATTGATTTCGGTTAGCCGTCTAAGCTCGTAGCGTATATTGTATATGGCGTACGAGCATTGCGTTATAAATCCCAATATTCACACTCCGATTCTATTTTCTGGACTTTCTCCCACCATTGGTATTGTCTTCTTCTTTTAACTGATTTCCATTACAAGTTACCTTGGATTTCTCTTCCTCTTACTTCACGTAACTGGCATAGCAGGGACAGCTAATGCAAGGAACGTGGGCATTAAATTGGTGGACCAGGGCGTTTCTGTTTTAAATCCATCAAGAAGTCGGAGCAACCCTATGAACTCCTGGATCAATGTCCTGCTCGAGAAGCATAAGTTACGGGATTCAACCTATCGTTCCAATCACACCTAAACTTGAAATTGACCCGCCTGCGACATTCACCTGGCCCGTGAGTTAGCTGTTGAACTATGGTACTGCGTATGAATTGAGGGCCTTGCTCTCCTGCGCGGTAACGCATTCCAACTTACTTAGCTTTATCCCCGACCGGTACCGCCGTCCTCAAAGTTACCGGTGAATCCTGACTACGATTTTCGCTCAGCCAACTGGAAATCGTATGCACCATGACTGCGGCTAGCCGCCCGCAAAATCGGGCTTTCAAGTTCAAATTCAAGTGGGACTGGAACGATAGGATGCATCCCGTGTTCCTCCTAGAGAGGGTCGTCGATCCAGGGGTTGATAGGGGTGCTCCGACTTTTTGATTGGTCATAAACGAAAACACCTGAAAAACACCCTGATCCAACAATTTAATGCTCCCGACCTAACATTAGCTGTCCCAGCCATGTCAGTTACGTGAAGTAAGTAAGAGAGGAAGAAGAATCGAAGGTAAGAGAGTAGGGGAAATCAGTTAAAAGAAGAGAATAATACCAATGGCAAGGAAAAGTAAAGAAGATAGAATCGAAGTATGAAGATGGGAATTTGTCAGGAAAAAGGAAAGGTTTCGTGTTGCCACCCAAGGGCGTCTAGTTGACGCTCAAACCCCTTAACCGTAGCCTCTTTGACAACATTTTCTAGAAGCAGGTTCCAGCGCTCGATGACTCGACGTGATAAGCGTGTCTCCGCTCCAAATCGATCGGACCGCAGTTTGTACAGCTCCATACAATGCCCGCGTAGACCAGATAATCTAGCAGGACTAAATAGCATGGACAAATCAGGGCCAACCATCCCAGTCAAATTACGGTAGGTTAGGATTAGGTCCCCTCTAAGTCTTCAATAGTGCATTGACTGCATCCCCAAACTAAGTAGGCGTTCGGGGTACGTTTGCCCTCGTAATCCCTTGACCAACCTAGTACCGACCCACAACACCCTTTCTAGTGCCATTTTGTCCCGGACAAGGCATGGTGGACAGGCCTGGACGCAATATTCTAGGTGAGGTCGCACAAACGCTGAGAAGAGCTACACAAACATCAGTGGTTAGGGTCCCAAAAGAACGACGGATAAACCACAACATTCGGAACCCTTTACTAGCCGCCTTCTTCCAGTTGTCTCCAGAGTGTAATGTGGAACAGTGGACGACACCTAGATCAACCTGATGAGTTACGAGAGGAAGTTCGCTCCCATCCAGCAAATAACTTGTGGAGGAATCAGACGCTCGGCTACGCAGCACTGCACACGTTGCCCGGTTTATGGGCAGCAACCACAAGACAGACCATTCCCAGAGTCTATCCAGAGCCCGTTGAAGAGCCATAGGACATCCAGGGATATCAACAATACTACGGAGCTTTAGGTCATCTGCAATTAAAAGCGATTGTACCTCAAACTCCTCCGGCAAGTCATTCACGTAGACTGAGAACAGCAGCGGACCTAGGACAGAGCCTTGCGGAACGCCGCTAAGTACAGCCTGTCGAAACGCAAGACTGCTTCCCACACGAATACACTGTTCCCGTCCAGCCAGAAAAGCTGACACCCACTGAAGAGCGCGACCAGCTATTCTATACGACCTCAACTTCAGTGTGAGTCGCGAATGGGGGACAGTGTCGAAGGCCTTGGCGAAGTCAATGAACACCACATCCACCGCATGTCCACTATCTACGGCTTCAGCCCAGCACTCACGAGCTACCAGCAAGTTCATCTGACACGAAACTCCTTTGCGAAAACCATGTTGCTCGACGCAACACAGTTCAAACCTATTTAAATGGTTCTCCACTGCATCCCGTACTAACTTTTCAAGTAACTTAACGACCACGCTAGTCAAGCTGACAGGCCTGTAATTAGCCGGCATGTCTTTGTAACCCCACTTGAAAATCGGGCAGACAACAGCCTACTTCCATTCAGTAGGCAAGATACAGCTGTTGAGTGACTTCTGAAACACACAAGTCAGAGGCCCACTGAGTTCCACTGCCAATTCGTGCAACAATTTTGCATGAACAGAATCCGGCCCAGAAGCCATAGTTGGATTTACCTCTCTTAGCAACCGGAGAACTTGGGACTCAGTTACAGGAATTTCATCCAGACAACAGTCCACAGAGACTATTGAAGCTAACTGCATGGCGTATTTGTTTCGCTGACAACGACGCTTGAGTACTGCTTACCAAGCACGCATGCCTTGTTATAGTCGCTATGGGCATGGGTCCCATCTCTTCGAAGCAATGGTGGAATGGGCGAGTTTGCACCACAGCGTCGTTTAACGTAAGCGAAGAATCTCTTGGGATTTTCCGAAGCAGTATTAGCTAAGCCTTTTCATACGGAAGCCGGGGCAACCTAAGATGTAGCTTGCACTCATTTCGAACCAACCGATACTTGTCAAACGTGCTGTTCGACGGAGCTGTTCGGTAAGCTCGCCAGCATCTAGACCGCTTCTTTAGCAGGCCCTTCCCCGCGGAATCTATCCACGAAGGCTGCGCTCTCGATTCCCTTCATTTTACAAGTGAAACGTGAGGTGCAGAAACGTCGACGAGGTGAGCCTTAAGCTTTTCCCAGGCTATATGAACAGTGTCGGTCTCAGATATCACACAAGGCGATGACCTAGCTCTATCCCGCATCGCTTGGAAGTCCGCGGCCCAAATGATCGGATAACAACTGGTGGTAGATTGGCAAGACCTGATAAGAGTACACTGGAAAGACAAGCAAACGTGATCGCTAGCGCCAAGAGGCGGGTCGTATTTAATGTCATTTCAAAGTCAAGTGACTTAGCAAAATCAAAAGCTAAAATAGACTACTGCTGATTGCTCATGTACCTAGTGGGGAGTTTCACGAACTGGTTAGTGGTACCTGCAGCGTTACGTCCAGCAGTTCTGTACCGAACGATTCCAGAGTCAAACTGCAAGATAGATAATCCCAACAGACCTCTGGGAGGTTGAAGTCTCCCAGAGTGATTGCGTATAAACGCAATGATTCCATTGGAGGTGCTCATAGGGCTTCTATACACTAACACGATCGTAACCTGAACCGAGGAAGCGCAAATCAATACTGCGAGTGCCTCAACAGATTTGTCGAGAGACTGAAAAACGCTGGTCCTCAGTACGTCGATGTGATAACTCACATAAAGAGCTACACCACCCCCTTGACGGCCAATGGAGCGGTCAGCGCGGAACAATGCGTAGCCAGGCAGATATACTTCGCCATCTGTGATTTCCTCAGACAGCCATGTTTCAGTGAACGCAAGTATATCTGGACGAGA